TCTCATTCGCGTCTCTCTCCCTTTTTCTCTCTCTCGCACTGTTTATCAACCTATCTCGTGTCTATTTAACTGCCTATTAGCACCCTTTCTTCTCGGGTTTAAATAACTGTTTATTTATTTCTTGTCTGTGTTTTTTTCTTTCTTTTTTTAATTATTCGTCTTTTTTTTCTCTCTTCTCTTTCGTCTCTCTATTCACGTTTCGTCCTTCTATCCCTCTCGTTCTTAATCCTTCTTCATTCCTCCTTTTATTCTTTCTTCTATTTTTTTTTTATCTTCACTTCGACGTTTCTATTTCTCTCCTTAATACATCTGTCCTTCGCCTCTAATCCTCAATGATTAGCCAATCCCACAATCCTATTCTCTCTTCACTATTATGTATTGCCCCATTTCTCATCCACTCTATCTATATCCTTCTTCTTCTTCTTATCTTTTCGTTTCACTTCACCGTCTCTCTCTTTTCTTTCTTTCGGTCGTACTCTTTCTCTCTCTCTCTTTCCCTTCTCATTCTTATAGATTATTTATTCTCCTATTCCCCGCTTCCATTATTTAATCCTCCTATTCCCCGCTTCTAAAAATCCTTTTATTTATTTCTCATCCACCCTTTTATCTCATCTAGCTATGTTATTCCTCATCCTGTTTCCTTTACCTATTTCATTCCTCGTCCACCCTCTTTATCATGATCTATTTAATTCCTTGTCCATTCTTTTTTACGTTCTTTCTTTCTTTAATTCTTCGTTTTTTATTTTCTTTATCTCTTTTATTTCTCATATACCCTCTTAATCTTCTTTATATTTTATCCTCTTTTTCTTTTTTATGTTATTCCTTATCCATCCTCTTTTTCTTCTTTATGTTATTCCTTATCCATCCTCTTTATGATATTCCTTATCCACCCTCTTTATCTACTCGTTCTTCTCTTCTCCATCTCCTTCTCTGTAAACTGGAGGTTCTTGTGAGTCACTCCCTCCGTCAACACCTTAACCCCGTGCTCTCTCTTTTACTCTTTTCTTTCTCTCTGTCTCTGTCTCTTTCTCTTTCTGCGTCTTCTCTCTTTCTCTTTTTCTTTCCCCTCCCTCATTCTCTGTTTTCTCTGTTTCTGTCTCTGCCTCTGTCTCTCTCTGTCTCTCCTTCTCTCATTCTCGCTCTCTCTGTCTGTCTGTCTGTCTGTCTGTCTGTCTGTCTCTTTCTCTCTCTCTCTCTCTCTCTCTCTCTCTCTCTCTCTCTCTCTCTCTTCTCTCTCTTCTCTCTCTCTCTCTCTCTCTCCCTCCTCTCCTCCTTCCTCCTCTTCCTCTCCCTCCCTCCGCTCCCTCCTCCCTCCCTCTATCTACCCATCTTTCTCTTTCTCTCTTTTCTTTTCTTTTTTTTTTTATTCCTTCATCACCCACTGTATCTTTCTCTCACGACGCACGTGTTTCCCTCAACACCTTGTCAAGATCTTCCTCTCTTAAATCTTCTGTGCAATTTCCGTGTAAACATCAAGAACGTGTCTGTGATGGGGAGAGGTGTAACATTTTTATTTGTTCAGCTTAGTGGTATTCTTTTTTTTTTCTTCTTTTATGTCTCTCTATTTGTTTCTTTCGCTCCCTCTCTCTCTCTTTCTTTGCCTCTGTCTGTCTGTTTCTCTTTCTTTCTTTCTTTCTTTCTTTCTCTCTCTCTCTCTCTCTCTCTCTCTCTCTCTCTCTCTCTCTCTCTCTCTCTCCTCTCTCTCTCTCTCTCTCTCTCTCTCTGTCTCTCTCTCTCTCTGTTGTTTGTTTGTGTGTGTGTGTGTGTGTGTGTGTGTGTGTGTGTGTGTGTGTGTGTGTGTGTGTGTGTGTGTGTGTGTGTGTGTGTGTGTGTGTGTGTGTGTGTGTGTTGTGTGTTTGTAGTACGAAGTTTAGCCAAGAGAAAATTTTGTGTATGAAATGATCTTGAAGTATTGGATTTAATACAACCAGCTTGATATTTACTATTTCTGTTTATTTGTATTCACAGGTTTATCGAGATTCATTTTATTATTATTAACGCTAATGTCAGTAATTGTGCTGCAATTATTATAATCATACAGGTATTCTCGACAGCCGAAACAGAGCAAATAGAACATTTTAATCATTATTACTGAACGTTTTTGTTATGATTATATCCCACCTTCACAATTCTCTCCAAGTGTTATCAAATTATCCTTCTTAACCAGTGTAACATTCTCTCCAACAGTGTTACCAAACCCCCCATCACACACACACATACACCCATTCACACTACAAATACTATCATCACTGCATGTTATCACAATGGCTACAACACCCTCGACAACCTCATCACGAGACCTTAATTCATAATCATATAATCATATTTATTATCATAAACCTCTCCCTCCCTCTCTCTCTCTCTCACTCATTCTCTCTCTCTCCTCTCTCTCTCTCCCTCTCTCTTCCTCTCTCTCTCTTTCTCCTCTCCCTCCCTCTCTTCTCTCTCCCTCTCCCTCTCTCTCTTTCTCTCTCCCTCCCTCCCTCATTTCTCTCTCTCTTCCTCTCTCCCTCCCTCTCTCTCTCCCTCCCTCTCTCCCTCCCTCCCTCCTCCCTTCCTCCCTCCCTATAATAATAATCGTCTATAATTATAATCTCTCTCTGGGTCTCCTTCGCTTTCACCAAGTCCTCCATTTTCCAGTCCCGTGTCATCACTGCTATTAATATGACTTTGCGCTGTCGCCATACGATCGTGCCTCGGCTGCGACTTCTGCGCCGCCCTCGAGATTATTCAAGAATGCCGTCTCACAGGAGGTTTCGCCCTGGCACTCGTATGGAATGGCACCGTGACTCACAGGGCGCCCGCGCTGTCACGACCTCCGGGTATTGTGAGGGAGGGAGGGTAAGAGGGAGGGTAAGAGGGAGGGAGGAGGGAGGGCAAGAGGGAGGGCAGGGGGAGGGGAGGGGGAGGGAAGAGGGAGGGAGGGGAGGGAGGCAAGAGGGGGGAGGGGTGGAGGGTAAGGGAAGAGGGGGCAAGAGGGAGGGACGGATTAGGAGGGCAAGAGGGAGGGAGGTAGGAGGGCAAAGGGAGGGAGGGAGTAAACGAGAAGAGAGAGAGTGATGAGAGAGGAGAGAGAGAGAGAGAGAGAGAGAGAGAGAGGAGAGAGAGAGAGAGAGAGAGAGAGAGAGAGAGAGGAGAGAGAGAGAGAGAGAGAGAGAGAGGAGAGAGAGAGAGAGAGCACGAGGAGAG